GCATATAACAATTTCAGGGGGAATTTATACACACGTTCGGGTGCGCGCGCCAACGAGTGCCTCTCAAGTTGATCTTCCAAAAAATTGGTGTGGAAAAGAAGGAATATAACCGCAAAAGCTTGTGTTAAACCCTAGTCTTGGCCGACCAGCAGGCTGATTATTGAAATTAATATACAGAGCAATTATAAAAGAAGGCGGGGGAAAATTGAGCGATTCTATTGGTTCAAAAGGTCGGTATTGACATACGATAAAGGGGAAAATGATGGACTAGCTGCAGCATAAAGAAAAAAGGAGATGTTTGCATTTCGGGTGTCTTGGGTTTCTTTGAATACGTGGGTCGGTACGGACGATTTTTGTCATCGATTTTCTTGGAAATTTCTAGTTTATGGAAATAAGTCATTTTATATACAGTGTTTGAAATTACATTGTGCGTTGATTGGAGCAAAAAATCGGACGTCATGGCCTGTTATTCATACTTAAAAGTTCGGATTTTGCTGGAATATCGATGCCATGATGTACCGACCTACATCACGGGTTAAACAATCCTCAAGAAGCAAAACACCTCCTTTTTTTCTCTATGGACTAGCTGTGTAGGGTCTCTTTAGGATTGCTGTTAGTTAGCCCATTACTCACTTCCTTTGTCCATTGCAGACACTCCCTACCACCAATAGGGTTTCGTTAAATTTTTTTGAAAATTCGAGCCTTTCGATATTTCACTTTCCATCCCTGAGCACGTTCATATTGTTTCAACTTAAGTGTTGATACAAATTAATTTCCCTCCAAAAAATTCTTCTGTCTCGATGGAGATTCATAAAAAGTATTTTTAAAACGAGTAGGTGGTGTGTAAACATGTTGATGGGAAAGGAGCGATGCAAAACTCTGCGAACCTGTTTCATCAAGCAGATTTTTCCTCTATCATGGAAGTTCAGTGGCGTGGCGTGCTTTGCGATATATCGCTGTTCTGCCATTTAAACTTATGGTAAAGAATCGATTACCAAGGTGTTTGCTGCTAACACCCTAATTATCGATCCTTTTCCATAGGTTTAAATGACATAACAATCGATATATCGCAAAGTACGCCACGCCGCTGTTGGAACGTTGTCCGTTTGGTAAGCGGTCAAGCGTTAAATTTGCAAAAAAAAAACTGCCCCTTTGATAATGTTACCCCGAGCGTCATCTTTTTCAAACCAGCCAGCAGCCAGCTTTTGTCATCAATGGCCAACCGTCTGCCATGCACTTTGCGGAAATATCAGCTTAATTTTAAATTTTAGACCGTTACTGACATAAAACTTTCCGTTAGCTGTCTCTGATCTCACTCTCTTAGTCTCTGTAATTTTGAGCCACCCTGTAGCGCGTGATATTCGACGATCCAAAAACAACGCGACCAGCGTCGCCCGCTCTTTATATTCAAGAGCGCCCCCCTCCTTCGTCACCACAACCCCTCGTTACCTACCCTTTGGGCTAACCCCTCCACCCTCATGAAGCGTGTCAATCTTCTTGGAGTTTGTGTTGGCGCGCCGCGCCATCAAGAAACATGGTCTAAACGATCGTCGTCTGGGCGCGAGTTTGAGAATTTGTCACGAATACAAATGCACCGCGCGCTAGCCGATCTACCTTTCTGGAAATTGGACCCACTCGAATCAAAAAGAACTATCGCCATCGTTACTGGAGCTCTGAGATCCATGAATACATGTATAATATAACCTGCGTCAGAATCGAGATCCTTCCTTTTCATTTAATACATCCTGAAGGACTGCATTTTGCTATTCTATTGAAGGGTGGTTTCACGATAACTGGAATAGTTTTGTCGCCGTAATAGACAACATATTTTTCGGTCATATTTTAAGTAAAAATGATAATCAATCGAATTTTTTCGCATTAATCTTCAAAGGCTTGCGTATCATAACGTTTTCTAATGATTTATTGCTCTACTTCTCAATTATTATTATGTAAACTCCGGAAATGTGCTGTCTGTTATGTGGTAAAAAGTCAGCGTAATAGCACATTTTCGGTCATTTATGTATTAAAATTGGAAAGTAGAGCGATAAATCTTGGAAAAGCATTACAACACGTAACTCTTTGTAGATTAATGCAAACAAAGTCGAGTGATTATCATTACGACTAAAAATATGACCACAAAATATGTTGTCTGTTACGGCGACAAAACTATTCCAGTTATCGTGAAACCATCCTAAAGCACATGTCTGCATGGGAGGTTTCAGGACATTTCGTCAACGATTTTTTGTCCGGGCACCTGTTTAGTCCAGTAATTTACGTCCACACGTAAAATAAGAAACAGTGACTTGGTCCAAAGATTATATTTCAGTCCGTATGTAAAATTATATTGACAATATCGAATTAGCAAATTGAGAGAGAGGAAGGTGTTGTTATGGTAACTCATTTTTTAAATGAAACGTTACTTTCTTCTTTTGGTTGATCTTTCATTTCCATTGGTGAATATTTTTTGGTTTTATTTCTATCTGTAAAATTGTCGATTTAAAACATACCGTATATATGTACCTTTTTTTAAATGACGATATTACTTCATTTTAAAAACATTTTTTTTTAAAAAGTGGCAAATATTTGTAAAACATTTTCCAAGCGATGGCATCGATATTAATCTCAATAAGCCGCACTTGTGTTGAAAGGACCTATACAAAAATGAAAAAGAGAGAGAAAAAACCAAGGAGGACGCAATCATTGGTTTTAACCCACTTTTACATCAATCTTTTACAGTCAAACACGTCCAATTTTGAGCGTTTGGTTGCAAATACACCACGCTGCAGCACAGTAAATGCACAAAATATAAAAGAAAAATTAAAAAGCTTTGGAAATCATTAAATTAGAAACGGAACCACCTTAATATTTTCAAAACACACGTACTATTTTCCTTTAATACATATATATTTTTTTTTCGTCAATTTAAATGAGACTAACCCGTGCAGAGCGGCAAATATTTCAAAATCATGAGTTGAAAAACGCTGACTCCGCGAATTTACATATTTGAGCCTAACACAGAGCAATATGCACACTGGCGCCTACAAACCTAACGGGATACTTCAAGCGTTGCGCAATGCGTGAAGTATCCCTGTTAGTTTTGAAGGGGCCTACGCGCGTGTCAAGCTGGTCGACCGCCGCGTCGCGGAGTGCTACGGCGTTTCAAGCAACTATTTCGCGACACAGGTGTTGCACAGTATCATAAGCGCTCCAACGTAAGAATGACAAGCTTCCTTTAAGGGTACAGAGCTTTCCTTGCAAAATAAATCAAGATACTACGTTACAAAAAGAGAGTGGTTATCTAAAAAACTCACTTAGTCCTGGCATCCGTTTTTAATAACGTTTAGCTAGCATAATTATTGAATTTCATTAGAGAACAATGCGACTCGATTTAGGCAGAAACATTATTGGGTATGCCGTCAAGAAGATTTTATTTTGAATCAAGAATAAAATAGCTGAATGAAAGCGGGTTTCTACTTGGTCTAAGTGACTTTTCTTTTTACTTAAGCATCCTTTTTTCTCCAAACAGGCATTATTTTCTTTATTGATTTATGAGGCTCTGTTCTCGGCGGCAAATTTGAGCATATTTCTGCTTGAATCAAGTGAATTTTTCCTTTAATCAAGTTCAAAAATCATGCTAAACGTTATTGGATCAGATACTTGGGCTTAGCAAGCTTTTCGACTACAGCTCCTTTTTTTTCGTCGTCACTCGATTTAATTTGCGAGGGAACTTCGTGCTTTTGAAATATGCCATCAATCATGATACGTTGGAGTGCCTTCAATCTTGTATGATACTGAGCAACACCTTCATGGCGAAATAGTAGTTCGAAGCGCCACGGCACGCCGGCGCCGTCGCGAAGTTATCGTACACAGGAAAAATCTTAGAGCCTTCAGCTGAGGAAAATCAAAAGGTTCATCCGATTCAGGTAAAAGAAGATGGGATTTTCTTGAAAGATAAGTAAGTCCTGTTGCAGCAAAGAGGTGTAGAGAGTTGTAGTGAATTTTCCCTCATGGAATTGACGCCAAAATTCTCAATTATATATTTGTTTCCGTTTGGCCAACCAAACAAACAAAAAACGAGCAAACCCCTCATTCTTCCGAGACATTATTTTCATCCAAAAACGTCGTGAGCAAATTTTGTTTGTATTTACATGTTGACCAATTAATTTTGGGTCTCAATAATTGGTAAGTGGACCAAAACTCCCCTGCCGAAAAAACGCGTGGACTTAAACTACTGGAAAAAACAAGTGTTCGGACAAAAATCGTTGACGAAATGTCCTATAACCGCATGGGATTTTGGAAGCGACAATTGCAAGAAGGCATTTAAACTGATACATTGCTTGCATGCAATTTTACTTGTCCTATTAATATAATTAGATGATCATTGTTAGACCTCTCAAGGTGATACCTTAGTACTTTAGGGAACGATTTGATAATTGATCCATCGATTGATGATTTTTTTATTTTAGGACATTTCTTAAGAATTTCTGAGCATTACATCAAACTGCAGAACAGCAGGTATCACTATGCAAAGATGCATTTTTTTAAAATATTTGAAATAACTTCAAAGAAACAAACCGGAGTGAAAAGCTTAAATCAAAAGGCAGAGAGATTTGCGATAGTCACTTGGATCGTACTTTCGGAGTTTTTTGAGAGGCTCTTCGTCACACGATCAAACAGTGTCATCAATACATCTAGGTCATATGTGCTGTGATTGGTCCAAATCTCGAATAAGCCAATCACAATACCAGACTTTGATATATTGATAGCACCGTGGCATTGTTCCTTGACGTTGTAAGTGTCCTGTAAGTGTCCCTTGACCAAATTTGGTGCACAATTACCTGGCGCGCTGTACAGCGAAAAAAAAGATTGGTAGAATTTACCATTCCGTCACGCTGTATTTCACTCAACGTGAATTCTAAATCAATTCTGCCAGAAAAATAGTAGACGTCACTTTATACTGGTACAGGTTTTATTCATCTAGCAGAATTGACTTAAAATTCACGCTGTATGGAATAAAGCGTGTCGGGATGGTAAATTCTACCAATTCTTTTTTCTTGCTGTGGAATGATTTGTGCTTGGAATTTCTCAGGAAACGACTTAAAATCTAGAAAATATGAATTGATTGGTAGACTATTGAGCTTCTCCTAGGTGCTGAAGATTCCCCTGAAAAGAGAAAATTGACGATTAGCAAGATAATTTCTTCAAAAATGTGTGATTTAAAGACTTTCAGCTTAAATTATATCCAAAAGATCACGAGAACCAGTGGCAGAACTCTCGTCTAGCATTTTCCTTGCTATCTTGCTGGACTTTTCGGAGCTAACTTCGAAGGAGCCAAGAAGCACTTGGCACTGGTTGTCTTCGAAAAGCTTGTCGGGCACTTTTTGAACGGCCTTTACAGTTCGACTTCTGGAGACTTCCAATTCCTCCAGCAAATTTTTAAGTTGCGCGGCAATGTTCTGCGCCTGCAACAAATTTCCATTTACACTTTATAAGAACCGGTCTCATAACGTAGATAAAACGCTCATAGAAATTATGTGGACGAACCCGTGGAGAATCTTTGTTCTTAACGAAATGGAAGTCACAACACGGGTGTTCATTGAGTTAAAATCATCGCTTCAAGCGCGAGGAATGTTAATGTTCCTGCAAATTTTTGGATATGCAACACGGGCGTCCCGGAGTTTAAACAGTTGCATTCAGGCGTTGATACTTTGAAGCAGTCTCTGCTACCAGAAGTGGACGGATTTGACTAGAATCAGCCAAGCATGATTTTGAAAGTTGGCTACGCTGTTTTTTCTCCACTTAAATCCTTTAAAAATATTAACTTTAGGTAAGGCAAGCTGTCTCACCGATGTTAAACTTAAGAAAGCTTCAAAATATATAACTGGAAACCTGAAACTTAATGTAAAATTTTGTTCGCAATTTACTAAAGTGGAGCGTGAAAAAACCTCTAAAACTACAAACTGGCATTTTTTTGTAAAAAATTACGAAAAGAGTTTCTTACCTTGGATAACTTAACTGAACTTTTATGAGTTTTCTTAGTGATATTTACGAGATTTTTTATTGTATTTAAGCAGAAAATGCTAATAGGGCAGTTGCGTAAGATGTAACGCGCAAATTACGTGCAAAAAAACCGCAAAAGGTAACCAGCAATGGCCTTCCCTTCTTTCCGTAAGGTCTAGAAACGAAGAGAGACCCTCCACTGCCATTTTTGCGACAGGTGGAAACATAACTTTTGGGGTCACAACACCATTACCATTATGGAAAATTATGAGGGAGCATCAGTAGGGTGGCCCAAATTTGGCAATGTCGGAATTTTTTTGGTCTTACCCCCTAGAACTGGTATGATAAATTAGTCTAACCTTCTCTCTCTCCTGCGCGACCTGGCCAATATCGGCCCTGACGAGCCACGTGACATCCTTGAAGAGCTTGCGCATTTCCACCAATCCGGCATCGAACTTGGAAAGCGTGTCCAAATACTCTTGCATTGCCGGATCAGATTGAAAGTCCCCTCTATCTCGTGCTTGTCGGAGCAAGTTCTGCCGCACCTCTTCCAGACATTTGAACTCCTCGATGAGGACCTCCAGGCTGAGAGCGATGCTCCCTTCTTCGTCTTTAATGCAGTCATTGACGGAGTCTTCAATCTGACCTTGGACGGTGTTTTTGATCTGACCTTGGGCGGAGTCCCCGTTTTGACCTTGAACAGAGTCCTCTATCTGAACCTGGACGGAGGAACAGAGGGAATGGCTGGAGACGCGGGCGGGGTCCTGGAGGGACGCGAGATCCCTGACAGAGGCCGTCCTGGATCCACCCGCTCTGCCCTGGATGACGCGGTGGATGGTCTGATGGTTTGCATCTTGCGCCTGCAAGAGAAGAAATTGGCGGGGTCTGGTTAGTTGGATATGAGGAACATCACACGGAAAAGAATGGTTCAGTATTCATGACAAGAGAGGTATCTCCACCCAGACTGGTGGTTGCCCTGTGAGTGTGAGGGTAGGGCTGGTAAAACCCAAGGTAAGTGAAGTGTAGGTATGTTTATCCCGACCCTCCGGCCAGAGCTCGCGCGCGCCGCTGGAGCTAAGGCGCGAAATTTGAATTCCTACAACTTTGCAGTGAAAACAAGTATGACCGTCCTATGTTGGTATAAATGAACAAATAGTCATCGCACTAAAAGCGAATGGATTTTCATTCTTAAAGCATTTGCTTGCACTGAATTTGTTGGTTTTTATCAACAGCACACGCTGTCATATTTGTTTTTGGTCGAGACTGCAAAGTTGTTTGAAATTCAAATTCCGCACCACAGCTCTACTGGCGGGAGTCGAAAACCTAGTCGTGGCCGAAAGGGTCGGGTAGAGCATATCTACGTCCCTCTTACCTTGGGTAAAATGTAGGTAGTACAATTTTAGGGTCCAGCCCTTTGGCCGTCTTATTAAGTGTTATTCAAACAGCTTCTAATGTAAGCGGGCATTCAAACTTCTCGGCCGGAAAAAAAAAAAAAAAAAATTGGAGTAGCGAGAAAGTAAAAACAAAAAAAAACACCATAGTAAACGGAGGCTAAATGGACCGCGTTAAATAGGAAGGAACCAAGCCACATCAGCTATTGCCCAATTTAATAGGGCAATTTAATGTTTTACATGAAAATGGCTGTGCGGATTTTTGTGCAAATTTCAGTGAATTTTCTCCATAATACAAAGCAAATTCCTCAAAATTTTCAAAGGAATCTGCGCAGACGTTCTCTCGTAAATAATAAAATCTCCTTGTTAAATTTGGCAATAGCTGATTTGGCTTGGTTCCTCTCTGTTTAACGCGGTCCAAATGAGACATTGAGATCAATTTTGAGGTACGTTCAGAAAATTACCACAGCTAGTTTCACACACATTTCCTCCCTATTTCGTCACAAGGTACCTTTAATTTTTTTTAAAAAAATATTTTTTTTTACTATAGTAAGCCACGAAAATTATTCCGTCTTATAAGACAACAACGTATCGTCACTCATCTGACGCCTGGACGTATATCGTATCAACATGAGCCGCGGGAAGCATAGAGTCATACAGAGAACAAGGTGCACGTGAAAATTGAGATACATCCTTACAAGCCAGAGAGTTGACGACATTAAGGCGAATGTTTAAAGACTTTTTCAAGTAAAGTTGACAGCGCGGTCTTTAAAAGCTGTCGAACAAATTCTTCCGCTGCCATTTTTCATCAACTTCTAAACTGTATCAAAAGATGCGGAACGGAACTTCCTCTTTTAATTCGGAAGTTTCCACCGTTTTCCAAAATTGATACCAGCTTTCCGCGGCCAACTTGGAGCTTTTGCGCGCTAGTTATTTATGCGGCGTCAGGTAGCGCGCCTCGATCGGCTTCCGTCGCAAACTTTTAACTGTAAAATTAAAAAATTATACTTTTGAAGTGAAGTCGTCCAAACTAATCGATGGATGCCAATCCCTCTCCTACTTTGTTTGCCTCAATGGGCAGAAGAAATATTTTCCTAAACCTTCAAGACAATTTCTTTTTCTTAAAATACAGCAGTTCACAGATTTACATGCCTTATTTGGTGGAGCAATTCACCTGAGTTAGGTTCCAACCCAAGAATACAACTATTTCAACTTTGGTGTGTTGCAAAGTATCACACGCATTTGAAGGCGTTTTATATTGGCCCGACCATGCCTTATTTGGTGGAGCAATTCATTTGAGTTAGGTTCCAACCCAAGAATACAACTATTTCAACTTTGGTGTGTTGCAGAGTATAACACGCATTTGAAGGCGTTTTATATTCGTCCGACCGCGACCTACTAGGGATAGTATGATTTTGCTGTGTTGTCTTTGAATGCTTTTTGGAATGCAAATACCGAATGCAAAAAAATGAATAATATTAATAGATTATTGTAATAAAAAGTTTAAAAAAAAAAAAAAAAATCGGGTGAAACTAAAGTATTCAAACTTATTTTAAACAAATGTTCAAAGTCTTACTTTTTTATGCCGAGAAGTTTCATTTCTATGTAATGGATAGTCTCCTAATACCGAATTTCACAAAAATCGATCAAAGAGGAGCCCACCGTCATTCAAAATAACGGATTTTGAATTAAGTCTCCTATACTTTGCATAATATGAACCTATAATAAGTTTCAATAGGGCGCAATGTTAGAGGAACTCATTAGCTTTGAATCAAGCCAAACATTCTGAAAATGGGTCAATTTCTAACGAAACGCAAATGATCCTTACAAACCAGGCTCCAAAGAAAAGTTTTAAATGACATATTCTTGTTCACACAATGATCGTGGTGATCAAGACACTAACGGCCATCTTAGTCACACAGTAGTAGAAGGTATTGTGACGTCATCAAGACATACAGACAATATAATATCAAAAGGGTCCTACTTAGAACGTGCAGAAATCGCAAGTAAAGTTTCAAAGAGTGTGCCCGGTGTCGTCTGAACCGAAAGGAAAATATCCCAATAACAATACGTTCAAAACATTTAACAAAAGAAGTATGTGCAACTCAAATATAAATTCACAAATCACTAACATTCCTGTGACATACAAGATGGCGGAGGGTAGCATTAATCATTGCCGTCATTGAACAAGGTACAGCATACAGCGGGGCCAACATTCGCCGCATCCGTTAACGAGCATGCTCAACAAGTTTCATAACAGAGGGAAAACTTGCTCAAAAGCTTGAATATTCAAGTGGCACAATTATCCTACATATCTTTCAGAAATGTTCACCAAAAAATACGGTCATTAGAAAAATTCTTCCATCGGCTGCAAGAACATTCAAATTAATCAGTCGTTAGTGAAGCGCAAATAAAAGCATACATACTTTTCCGAAACTTATCCTGTAAGCGATGCGTCATCAAAAAATGTTTCCCAATGTGTTTCTGGTCTCAACTACAGTTCGTTTATGAATTCTCTCAAAAGAGGGGAAAATACCATGACCAGACCAATGAAAAATTACCGCTCTTTCATTAATTTACATTTACTGATGATTAATTATTGACCTGGAAATCGGAATCGGCAATTTAGAGGCAGGACGAGGGATGCACGGATTGAAAAAAGGAAATATGATCTGTTTGATCTGTTTTTCAGGCATTCGAATTCCTGGTTTTAATGAGGTCGTATATTTGATACTTCAAAAAACCGTTTATCTGTTTTTTCTCTACTTGCCAAATATCCGTGAAAAGTCAGTCATTGTATTCGTCTGATACCTTGCCATCCGCCATTAACCGTCATTGAATTGTACTTTAATATAATTTTGAAGCATGGAGTCATAAATTAATAGAAATACAAATAGTTCAGAGAAATGGTTACGAGAAAAATAGTCAGAGCTTTATAAATGGATATGTGAGGAGGGATTTGTTTACATTAGCAACTTTAAGAGGGGACTTAAAAGGATTTATACTCAGGTCAAATTTGAGTTAAGTTGCAATATACGGACCCTGTTGCAGCGTTGAGGATAATGCGTGAATAGAATTATATTGAGCAAAGCCACACTAAAATCACGGTGGACTAATAAAGAAGTCTGAAATGCATAATTTAGCAGGCATTGAGTAATTGGTGTGGTAACATGGTCTTTTCAGTAATTTTTGTCTGTTGCGTTGTGTCGAAGAGTTCATTTGAGACTTTATTGCCTCCTTATCATGGTTTATTGGCAGCTAAACCACTCTATGAACGTCATTTTGCAATATGCGGAACTAAAATTTTTGACCTATCCGTAATAGCACCTATCTGAGGATTGCCACAATCAGGGAATACCAGGGAAACCGGGAAATGTCAGGGAATTTTAAAGAGTCTGGGAAAATCCGGAAATGTCAGAGTAAATGTCGAAAATGTAAGGGGAAATGACGAAAATTTCAGGGAAAAATTTTCAAGTCACCTTTTTCTCCTCACTAGAACAGGTTTAACGTTTCGAACAACAAACGCCCGGAAACTATTCCAAATCATATTTTAAGCATCTAACATATCTTCAATCGTCAGGGGATTTCACCAGAAGGTGCCAGGGAAATGGCCGGGAATTTCATTTTCTAAATTCCGTGGCAACCCTGCCATCTGCATGGAGAAACTAATGGCATATTTGTTGGTTCTGAACTGGAGCCAAAATTTATAGTTCCTTATTGCAAAATGTAGTCCACTTAACCTTTTTTTTTATTTTTTTTTATTTATTTTTTATTTTTTTAAATTTTTTTTTGCCCGTTTCTCGTCTTTCCAACAGACTCATCTAATCATGCAGGATTTGGTGGACTAATGGATTTTTGATTCTCATAGCCCGATGTGGCAACAGCGTGACCCTTACGCGTCGCCTTTACGTTAATGTCATTCCCGTTATTCTGTTAAACAGAGTTTTACGACGTGAAGTAGCAAGTGCAATGAATTATTCCGCTCGAATTGTTCACTTTAAAATTTATGGATGCTGTCTATCGTTTTAAAACTTCCCCAACTTTTCAGCGCTCATTACGCTCTCCCCCAAGTCCGGATCACCAACACTCACGCATCATAAATCGTGTTGATTGTCAACTTTTTATGCAATTTACAGAGTGGCTCGGGGCTCTTCGGCAAGTTGACACCCTTTCTTTTAGGGATCGCAGCTTTCTGTCGTTTTAAAGTTAACACGTTTGACGCTGCAGTCGTTCAATCCACGGTATGGTTCGAGTCCCTTTATAGAGAGAGTTGAGACAACGGGGCTTATGGATGCCACAAACGGGGTTAAAGATTAAACAAATCGGGCGTTTTTTTTTTGTAATCTTTGATCAACTCATTCCCGAAGTCCTGTCCCCGCGCGTTGCCTCTCATTCCATTTCCTTGTCGTGCTCCTAATGCCACGGTCCATTCCAGCAATGCATATTTGCATATATGCATATTTGCAATT